TCCTGTGAGCCAAATTAAAATTAAACTGTTCCCTGAACACAAACAGCAAGGCAGATTCAGATGCCTCCCACTCACAGTGAACAGCACCGCGACTCATGACAAGGAAATCCAGCCCCTCAATGGAAGAGAGGGATGGTCAATGGGAACCAGTCCCAGGCTGCTGAAGACAACTCACAGTGTATTCTCAGCATTGGACCTCAGAAGGGTCAGTTGTGCAATTCTGCTCAGACACGTGGGGTTATATCATTGTGATGAAAACATCAACAAAGGCAAAAGACAACAAAAAAGGGAAAAGACAAAACAAAAAAAACCCAACCCAGCAGAAGATGTCACGTGTAAACTCTGCCAAGACTCATCTCTGCAGCATGTCTAAGTCAGTGTCAATTTGTTTTTCCAAGACAGAAGCCTCAGCCTTTCATATCAATAACTATGAAAATACATTTTCAGGCCACCTTGCTTAGAGTCTCCCATTGTGGCTGTTAGATAACCATCTGCCTTGCAAGTGGCTATTGTTACTGTGAACTGTCTCTTTCATTCCATTATCTTGCTGAAAAGCCTTTTCTGAAAGTAGTCCATTAGAGCAGGGGAAAAAAAACCAATACCGAGTATGGTCATGTAGCAGAATCAATGGTTCCCTTTGATCTGCAGGCTCAGTACTACAAATTTGAGAAACAACAAGGTTTTGCCTTGCTAAGCAAAGCCTGTTAATTTGGCTCATCTGCACTTATAGCATCTTACTGAAAATGCCATCTGTATCAGACGTTTTGAAGACTTTGGTGCAATATTCGCTTAGCTTAGATAAATAATTCAGTTAGAGTCATTAAAAAATAATCAGTGAATTAATTTTCATAGTGTACATCTATCCATGTAAATTTTAAAATTCAATCCTCTACTACCCTGAATGATGGTGAGGATATTCACAGTGGATGAAGGGAATGCTGGTGATTGATGGAATTAGACTGAACATAGGGTGTTCTTATCCTAGTCATGGAATTTATCCTGAAAGCTACTACGTGTGTTTGAGTCCTATTACTGGCAAGAGCAAAATGCATATGCACCACAGGGAAAATAAGACCCTTTACGTCTGTTGCAGGCCACACATATAATACAGGAAACTTAATTCCTATCATGACAAAAGAAGCCCACAAAAACATCACTTCATGCAACCGAAAGGAAATCTTTTGTGCTGATATATAGGACAGGAATGTATACCACTGAAATCACTGTAGCTAGCTGTAAAACACTATTCAACAGATAGAAAAAAATCCTCAGAACATACAAAATTTACCAGTAGTGACCTGGAAGTGCAGAGCACACATAACTAAATGCCAAGTTCTGACCTATAAAATCCTTTATCAATGACGTACAAGTTGATAATTACAAAGCATCGAGACCACAAAATAACAAATAAAACAAAGAAAAGTATTATTTAAGAGAATCAAAACAACAACAGCATTGGGAATGTTATCTTTGGGACTCAGAACACCATTTCTACCTTGATACCTATCAAAGCCAAGGAAAATATGTGCTTGAACAGGATAACATAAATAGGAATGCAAATAACCACAGAATACCTCAGGACTACCACCTCTTTATGTTTCAGCCTTTAAATCCAGCAAGCCATTAACTGTTTGTTCTTAGGCATCTCACAGTATTTTGCAGGGATCTTTCAGGAATTAAATATAGCTCTAAAGGAAGCCTTTGAACCTCCTCCCAGTGATTGTTTTAGGCATTGTGTGGAGCTATACAAATATATTGGTATGAAAATTGTAAGCCCTAGTAAATATTAAATTTTCTAACTCCTTTTGAAATAAAAAACATAGATGGCTTAAAGACAAAGGTGAGTTTTATACATACAAAGTTAATTTGAGCATTAAATTGTGTTTTTACTCTCACACAACCATTACCCTGAATCAACGTCAGTATGTCGCAATGATTCATAACACTGACGCCCTACTACAAGCTACTTTCCCATTTTCCTTTTAAGGATATGATTGTCCTCAAAATATGCACATAGCAAGCAGCCAAATGAACCGTCAAGAGATCTGCAAAGTGTACTTACACTGGGTATGCCATAGAAAGCTTGGGAGCGGGGCTGGGGAGCACCTGGCTTGCACAAGCATCACAGCCACCCTCCTGTCCTGCACTCCCAGCCAGCCCAGGACTCCCCACTCCACTCTGCACCACACCAAGGAGGAAGCTGCCCACCAGCATGCAGAGGAGAGAATGAAAATGGGGCAGAAAACAAAAGGAGAGAGAAAAATGAGGGGGAAGCCAAAGCATTTTAATGATGATTCATGTGAGTCATTACGTGAGAGGGAGCTAGTCTAGTGTCACTCTACTGGTTTCTCAATATGGACATGCTGCAATGCAAACAAAATGCTGATGATGAACAATTTGCCAAACACAGGTCCTGTAGAGATGGTAGCTGGTATCTTCTAGTGGTTTTAAAGATACGCCACTCCTACTACCTGTACTCAGTGCTTCCAGTTTCTATGGTACCACCCGAAGCTCACCACATCCTCCCTCCCTCTCAACTTCCAGTACCCTGTAAAATCTCTGCACAACACAACAAAATGGGGAATTGTGATTTTTCTGCAGAGTTGTCATGCAAGGAAAGATGTGTCCCTTACAGTCAAATGAAAACGAACAGAAAATGGAATGTTAGGTTTAGGGCTGAGGACCAGGATTCTGGTCCATGTTCTGTACTTTCATCCTTTTGAGGGTATTTCAGCTTTAACTTTCTAAAATGCACAAGCAGAGTCAGGCCAAATGCAAATCCCTTTCTCAGGCAAAGGAAATCACCGCCAGCATGTCTGGAGACAGATCCACAGCACATGCACTCTGCCTGTGTGCAGGAGCATGCACGAGTGGCTGTGTTCATGAGTGTGATGTGCGCAGGTGTGTGTGTCTTCACCCCACTGCACATAACCCAGGAGGAGGTGCATCCTGACTACACATGCATATGTACAACACGCCTGTGTGAGTAGGCATATAGAAAACCACACACATACACATTAGAAAGAAAACATATAAAATAACCCTCTTTGAAGTGTATTAAGGTTCTTACTCAAACCATGAAAACAGGGACTGATCAGGAAAACACTTTATCCCAATTCACTGGGGCGCTGCAGCTCGGTATTAAATCCTGCAATCATTTCAGAACTTGAGGCCAATTTTACCCTAGTGACTAGGATGTCATTTCCCCAGTGAACCACACATATACATATATACAATTCTTATTATGGTATTTCATAGCTTTTTATGGTTTATCTTTAACCTTAATATCCTTCAAATTTATATTCTGTATATTTATTTTCCTTCTTTTTCTTTCTGTTTAAGAGACAATAAAACCAACTGCTATGTAAGATCAGACCCATTAGCTTCAATTATGTGAATTTAGGATTCTCTGCATAATATAGACACATCTATTTTAAAAATGTATATTATTTTTCAGATACACTGGATCATATATTTTATATTAACTGTGGTCTGATGATTAAATACTTATATCAAAATATTTTGTAAATACATAATATTTACCTTTAGACTTCAATGATTTTGGAGCTTTTTCAGTGTATCATAAAAATATGTCCTCAGGCACATTAAAACCTTAATAAATTTCTTTGACATGTTGTCAATGCCCATGTACAGTAGCCACTACTCAAAAATGTCCTGGCCATTAATACATTTCTCTTAAGATCCAAGCTCATCAGACCACTTTATGTGTCACTAGCTTACCGTATTTCTTTTTCTCTCTTAAAGTAAAATTATTCTGACATTATTAAGAATGAAAATAAAAAACAACGAGAACCCAAACTTTCTTTAAATAGTCAAAAACTAATTTTATATATTTTAAAAAATACTAATTAAAAACCATGTTTCTTTCCTGGGTTCCTTCTCTGTAAGGTTTAAGCCCAGAGCAACTTTGTCCAAACCCCTGAAAATAGAGGTTTGCAGTGGCAGTGTTGGCAGAACCTCAGCTCTTACTCATGGAATGTGCCACTGGAATAAAATCAGCACTTCAGATTTACTTATCTGGGGATGTATGAGCCCATACAAAACAGAGTTTTGCTCTAATTTAAGGTACTTACACAAAGTTCTATCATTTTAGAACTGTAAAATTATCTACCTATAAAAACTAGCTTTTGCTTAAACTCTAGATAATACAGACAGGTGATTTTTTTTAATATAAAAATCTGTAGCATCGACTAAATCTGCTAAAATATGTATATATTTACACACGGCGAGCAAGTTACGGTATAAATGCGAACAGTGTGTATATATTGGCATTTAGTAAAATGTTTCCCTGAACCTGATTGTATGTGTTATTGGACAAGTATCGATGTAAACATCTGAACCTATGTCAGGTGTCTCTGTTACCCATTTACATTAGACCAGATCAAAACCAACCAGACGAACAAAAATGTGTTTCCTGTTAGACAAGTCCACTTAACTCCTTTAGTTATCTACTGCACACAAGTCAATCAAGTCTGCTGCTGAGCAGTGCTCTCCTTCCTACAGCAGGCAAAATACCTGTTAGGGTGGCTGGTTTTTTGCTTGGCATTTTTTCCAACATCTTGTAGAGCAAACATAATTCTGGGAGCCAGGCACCCACCTTCCACTCCTCCCCCAGAAAAGATTAAAAGATAAGTGTATTGGAGAACCTCTCATGTCGCTCCTTTTGTAACTGTACCCTTGAAGAACTCATGGCACTGCTCTGCGTGAGGAAGGATTAGGCTCATAATCCAAGTCCTGCTTCCAAAAAGGCATGTAAAAATGAACCTCCCCAGTGTTTAGTGCTGCAGAAAAAAGATACAAATGTAAAAAAAAAAGTGCTCAAAAAGAAGTCGACTTTTTATATTCAGCCATACAGTCTCATAAGAAGGGATTCAGAAGCGGAGGCCCGTAGGGTACAGTGAAGTAAGCCTTTTAGGTGCCTTTCTTCAAGGTGATGCAAAACTAATTCATTATCTGTGGTCTCCTACACAGACTTTCACCCTCTTATTCAACTACTTTTTGGCACTGTCGTGGTACGTGGCAGCTTTCACTGTTGTCCCTGCTAAGCCCCTGTTACTGACCCGCCGTACTAGTACTTTAGAGACAGGGATTTTTGTTCTGTGCATCTCGCTTTTGGCCAGGTGATGGTGTGCGACGTGATGGCTGTTACTGGTATCTGCTCCATGGCTGGCAGAATGTGATGAAAGGTGTTTAATGCTGATGGGTATCTTGGAGTCCTTCACTGTGCCTGAGGGTGTTTTCAGTGTGGTTGTTATTGGAGACACAGGCTTGGAGCGTGGCACACAGGTGACCTCTTCCACTGTAGGCGCTGCTGGTGGGTTCTCATCCGGCTCAGCATAGAGGTCATAGAGAGCATCCCCACTGTAGCTGTCCCTGGGGATAGTCTCCTTCTGGATGCTTGTGGAACTGTCTTCCTCAGGACCAGGGGTGGTGGAATCCCAGTAGCCCTCATCGCTATTTGGGACACCTTCATGTGGCTCCTTCTCCCTGCCTTTCTGCTCCTCTTTATGGTTGAGGTGAATAGGGATCTGGTGGAGGCCACCACGTTTCCCCACTGCCCTGCTCTGGGCCCCCTCAGCACCTCGGCTCTCCTTCAACCCCTCGGGTTTCTTTGTGCCTCCTCCACCTCCTGTTGGGGTCTCCTCTGTCTGTGACAGCATGTCCCAGAACTCCTGCAGGCAGGTGTCATCCACCTGGTCTGGGCTGGCCATCTCCTCCCCTCCTCCCTGGTAGGTCACCATGGTCGGGTGCTTCTTGGAGGCACCCAGCTTGCCAGCCCCGGGGGTGCTCTTCTCGCAGCTGCCACTCCCGCTGCCCACATCCTCCTCATGGTCCGCAATAATATCTCCGCAGCCTGTAAGAGAGTCAAAGCTTTTCAGTGAAGTCACGTCAGCAAACATCAAACAAATACGATCAATCGATTGCTCTGAGGGTGGATCAACAGAGGAAGGGTCAGGGGCGGCTGCCGTCTCTTGACCGCTATCACAGTGAGGTGCAACAGGGGGGATAGTCGTTATTGGAATGTCACCTGTTATGGCCGCATCCTTCGCAGTCCCAACCTCTCCGGCGCCCGGGTCCGGTCGCTCGTGGCAGAGCTCCTCGGGTCGCCTTCCAGCAGCGGCTGGGTCCTCCCGGGCCGGGGGGCTGCTGTCCCGCGGCTCCCCACCGCCCGCCCCGGCCTCCTCCTGGGCCGCGGCGAGTGCCTCTCCGCTGCGCTTCTCCCGCGGCGCGTCCAGCCCCGCGTCTCCTGCGCTGCTCGGAGTTTCAGACAAAGGTTTTGGCGTCTCCTCTTTGATGCACTCCAGGCTGGCAGTCAGAGACCCCGGCATAATAAGGCCGGACTGGATCTCCGAGGTTTCCCCCCTCTCATCCTTGCCATTTTTGTCCTTTCTGTGCCATCGCATGCTGCTGAAGATGCCTTTCAGCCCCTTCTTTTGTCTGCCGCCTGCCCGCTGCTCTGCGCTCTCCGCCTTGCTGTTCTCCGGCCTGCCGTTCTTCCGCAGCAGGGAGAAGAAGCTGTGCGACTTGGCCACCGAGCTGCCGGCGGACACGCCGAGGCTGCCGCCCGGCCGGCTCTGCGGCTCCCGGTTCTGAGGGTCGCCGCCGCCCGGTTCCTCCTTCTTGCTGCTCTCCAGCACGGCGTCGGCCAAGCCGTCGTGCGTCCGGCTCCGCACCATGCCCGCTTTGCCGGCACCCTTCCCCTCCCCGCCTTTGCTCCTCACCCCGAAGATGCTCGGCATGGTGCCCCCGGACTTCCTCCTCTTGAACAGTTTGAAGGCGGTTTTGTTAATCCTCCCCGACGGCTGCTCGGCGGCCAGAGGCTCGGCACAGTCACACTGAGAGTCCATGTCTGCCGCCGCCGCCGCCGCGGCCTCCCCTGCGCCGCCGCCCCGGTTCCCGGTGCGATCCCTCACTGACAGCCCCGCCGCCGCCGCCGCCGCCCGCCCGTCTCCATGGCAACCCGGAGGAGGGGTGGATGTGGATAAGCCGCTCTTCCTCCGCCGCGGGCCTGCGCCAGGCCGCCGGCGCCCACCCCGGACCAACCTGCTCCACCGCAGCGCCCCGCCGCCGCCCTCCCGCAGGCCTTACATAACCGAGCCCCCGCCGCCGCTCCGCCCGCCCCAAGCGGGCACGGCCTGCGCTCGGCGCTGGGGGACGGCCCGCCGCAGCCCGGCCCGCCGCTGCCTCCCCTCTCAGGTGCGCGGCGAGGGCACCGCGTAGGGCACCGCGTAGGGCGCGAGGCGATGCGATGCGCCAGTAGCGCCCAGAGAAAGCGGGAGGCAGTGGAGGACGGGGGGCACATGGTGTGCAGGTGCCAATGCACCACGTGGCAGGGACACCCACACCGAACCCGCGAGGTACACACCCCCAGGGGCCGAGACAAAAGATGACACCTTCACTCTCCCCACACCTTGCTTTTCTCTATCCCACCTCACCGGGACGGCACCAGGTAGCCAAGTAAGGCAACAGCATCCTGGCTTGTGTCAGTAACGGTGTGGCATCAGGACCAGGGCAGTGATCACGCCCTGTACTTGGCACTGGTGAGGCTTCATCTCAAATCTGTGTTCAGTTCTCGGTTCCTCACTACAAGAGAGACATTGAGGTGCTGGAGCAGGTCCAGAGAAGGGCAATGAAGCTGGTGAAGGGTCTGGAGCACAAGTGTGATGAGGAACAGCTGAGGGACCGGCAGGTGTTTAGTCTGAAGGAAAGGAGGCTCAGGGGGGACCTTATTGCTCTCTACGGCTACCTGAAAGGAGGCTGTAGTGAGGTGGCTGTTGATCTCTTCCCCCAAGTAACAAATGATAGGACAAGAGGTATTGGCCTCAAGATGTACCAAGGGAGGTTTATATCATATATTAGGAAAGATTTCTTCACAGAAAGGGTGATCAGGCATTGGGACAGAATGCCCAGGGAAGTGGTGGAATCACCATCCCTGGAAGTGTTCAAAAAACATGTAAATGAGGCCCTCAGTGGTACAGTTCATTGGTGGTCTTGGCAGTGGTGGAGTAAAGGTTGGACTTGATGATCTTAAAGGTCTTTTCCAATCTAGTTGATTCTATGATTTTATGATTCTGTCTTCTCTGCCATGGAGGGGAAGCACAGCAGCAGCACCCACACCAGCCTTTCCCTAGACCCTGCATCCACTGTGCATAGTCACGGAATCCAAACCATGCCCATAGTGTGCTGCAGTCAGGGACTGCAGCCAGCAGCACCGGCACTAAACCTCCCCTGGTGCAGCTTTGAACTTTTCCCACACATCCTGTCACTGAATACCAGGGAGAAGAGCTCAGCACCTCCTTCTTGCCCTCCCCTCCTCTGGAAGCTGTGGGGAGCAATGAGGTTGTTTCTCAAAACTAGACAAACCTGGCCAAATTAACCTGCCCTAAGCTCCAAACGTGCTAAACACCACCTTCACTGCAGCACTTCACTTCTCTTGAGGCAGGGTTATTTCGGCTCGGGGGCAATGCTCTGCGCCACGGCTGCAGAGCAGACCTGCTTTCAGCTGGAGCTGTGATAATGCATGTGCCCTGGCAGCCTGCCTTTGCTGCACAGCATTAGTCCAGGCTCCTCAAAACACAAACACTTGTCTGGGTTTTAGCTCTAAATGCAAGTGGGAACCACTAAAGATAAGTCATATGTTGGCCCTCTGGCTTGGGGCTAGGTTCTGCTCCCTTTGAAGTCAGTAAAAGGTTTTGCCATTGACTTGAAAGAATTAGTTGGGGGGTGAGGGGGGGTTAACATCATCAGACATTCATTGCAATCTCCCACGAGAGCAGGTTGAATTATCTGTTGTGAATAATTTATCCAGTGAATTTAGTCCTTTTTCTGTTCATGTATAAAAAGTGCCATTTGCATTCAGAATTAGAAGCTTTCAATAAGAGCAATAAGAGCACATCATTCAACATACAGGTCTCTCCTGCCTTCTGAAAGAGACACAGGAAAGGACAGATGAGACAGAAACCAAGATTTTGGCTGGAGGAGTAGAGGGTTACATTTTACAGAGCACAGTTTATACCCAGCACCCAGAAGCCATAGAGACCAGATCTCAGAGAAGAATCAAGACCTGTAGATCTAAGTTGTTCACCTTGATTGTGCCTCCATCAGTTGTGGTACGCCATGGGCTTCCCCATCACTTCATACTATTTGTTTTCTTTAGGCAGATGAAGTAAATGTGATAAAAAAAGAGAAAATACCAAATGCTCTTGTGCAAATGCAAATACACAGAACCTTTTCCTTTAGAAATTTGAAAGAACAAAACCTGGTCCTGTATCTTGGGAAAAAGTGGGGGGAAAATGCTAAAAAGTAAGGCTTGGACACATGGCTGAACTTAACAATTTTTGCACTTCCATACTGCTGTTTTGCTACATTTCAGCTATCCTTTATATTTCACTAGTTCTTACAAGCACTGAGTCTAAAGGAAAGAGGCACAGAGATACAAATGGCAGAGAACGGATGACTTAATGCTTCACAGCTGTATGGAACAGCCAAGTTACTGTGCCCTCTTTCTTTGTTGTGTGAATATCTTCAGACATGATAGAAAGGGTGGACTTTCAGCTTGTTTATCACTCAATTTAAAGTCCAAGTGTTAATAGAGAAAAGTGACTTGAGGTCAGCCTGAAATTACTATTTAGAAATGTTGTGACAAATTGATTTTATCCCCAACACATTTGGTTTCAATCCTTTTTGCACATTTAAAAAGATAATTTAGATAACCTTGTGGTACCTCTGGAAATGAGTTGCCATTCTAAAATGAGATGTTAAAGCATTGAACTTTGAAAGTGACAACTGACATATTCCCATTTTTTTATTTTCTTTTTTATTATTTTGTTTTACCCTGAAGACATCTATGAGCTCATGACATGCTTTGTCAACAGCAAAAGCTTTAGACCAAAAAATCATCAACTTGTAACTGAAGAAGAGTAATGCTGAAAGACGGTTATATTCATGAAAAATAATTCTTACATCTAGGGATGTTTGGACACCCAAGTGTTGTATGATCAAAGAGGTTGGAAGAAAATGTTCTCTGCCACATCCGTTATGCCCACATCCTCATGTGTGATGGGAACTTCACACAGAGGGTTCAGTGGCATTCCCTTGCCCTCTTGGTTCCCCCTGCTTTTGCCTGGGATTTCCCCTGGAAGCAAATGTCATTCATGCAAAAATGTCTAGGGATCTGGGATCGGCTGTGTGAACGGCCTTCCCAGGTGAGCAAGGGTGGTTTCTGGAAAAGGATGGAGTGGAGCTGGATGAAATGGAGCCAGAGATATTTTCTTCCACATGGTCCTTCTGTATTCTTTCTGGGTTTACGTTAGAGGAAGCTCGCACAAAGCCTATGTAAGCAATACCTACTCCTTACTGGTTTTCTCAGAGGCTTAAAAATTCAGCTCCCTGAGTTCTGGTAGGGATTTCTTTATGGCTTCCCTTCATCTGTATATGTCTGGAATTGAAGCCTGCTTCTGACAGTGAAAAATATTGTAACTCTGTCTTCCTGGCAAGGGGGAAGAAAGACCAACGACACCTTGCAGAGTGGAAACTAATGAGGAGCGCTAGTTTAAAAGCTCAAAGAGACTCCACAATCAGCTGGGAGCTCTTGATGACCTGCAGACAAGAGGCAGCAGAGCAGCTGTGGTGCGAGAGCTGCTTCTACTGCATCCCCCCTCATCTGGTTTAGCCTGAAGGGTGTCTGGAACAGTGGAAGAGATCCCATGCCAAGCTGCACAGCACAGCTATGCCAGGACATATATTCCAGCTGAAGCGGATGCCTAAAATGTTTTGTGGAAGAAATGTTTTCAAAGGTGGATTTTTTCACCTTTAGAATGAATACAAATGAAGAAAAACAGACTAGAAACACTATATAATAAAATCATTTGGAAAAAGTAACTTAAAAAACATGTATAAAAAATACCTATATACCTATATATGTATAAAAATAGGTATAATATATAGGTATACTTATATACCTATATAGAAAACATTTATAACTATACACTTTTTAATAGAAATTAAGGACTTTGAGGTGAAGGCTATCCTCTCCTAATTCCCTGGACATACCCTACAGCTTTCTTTGGGCTAGTTGCTGAAGGTTCCTGCCAGAAACTGCTGGTCGAGACCCCAGCCTTGGCTCTACCACTGCCCTGTGCTGCTGCAATCCTCAGGAAGCCACTGTTCTGTTCATTTCAGCCAAAGGTGCCTTCTCAAGCAACCCGCAGGCGCCACAGTCCTGTCCCAGCCTCACATCCTATGGAGTGCTGGAGCCACTGGGGCAGCCCCAGAGCTTGAGCCATCAGGTGAAACAGCAGCAGCAATAATTACAAGCCAGCCTCACCCTTCTTTTCCCCAGTGATTACACCCAGCAGATGCTCTTAGTTCCCCCGGAGACTACAGTGCATGGCACAGATGAATACTGAATCAAAATCCTAGGATTCATCAAGTATGAATCAGTGATGGAAGTGACAGCTAAAACCGTCTTGTCTCTCATTTTGACAGAAGCCACAGAGTCTTTTGGTGTTTCAAGGTTGCCTCATGGGCTGAAGGGGAGCACTGAGCACAGAGTGACAGGACAGAGGTATCTGAAACATCCCTGAGGGAATTTTTCACTTCATGCTTCACTTCTAAGCAGCCTCTGGGACTCCAGAGAGTCAGGAGAAGCCCTCTCAACATCATACCTAGGATGTGCTCAGTTTTAATCTAGTTTACCCATTTTCTGCTGAAGTTCTTTACCTTTTTTGTCTTGTTTTATTTCTGGTTAGCATTCTCTACATTCTCTGTATTTCTACCGTTGCATATACTATAGTGTATATATAATTCATGGGGCTGGAAGATGCTACATCAATGTAAAACTGGTAGGTCTTCCTAATGCTAAGCAGTGAATCTGAATTACAGAAAATGAATTGCAAAACATTGGCTGGCACAATGCATCCGGGCCCTAGCTGGTGATGGGAGAAAGTCAGCAGGCTTTTAAAAAGCTATAGACAACTACCATGCCAGGGTCTAAAACTGAAGTACAGGGAGGCCCAGAGCAATAACAGCTTCACAGGGAAACCAGGC